GCACGAGTTCATAACAAATAGGTTGCTAACATACCTGCCATTCTTGCCCTTATATTAATTCCCATTCCCAGTCTTTACATATTATCACTAACACATATTTCCAACGTTAGGTCATGCACACACGAAATAAAAATCATTACTTTCACTGTCCAAATTAGACAAAGAAAGTCATTAATAACTCGCAGAAGAACACTCCTGATTTTTGAAAAATGAACTGTATTTGCAACAACGCCTTACTATCTTCATCGTGGTAATTCACAGAAAATCAGACGCTAACGTTTGTAACGTCGGTAATACAGAAAACGCATGTATCTAATCCAAAACGTATATACATAACATTATAATATACATAGAAGATCCTCGTGAGGAGGTATAAGATTTATACATAAAAGATACATACAATGTGTGTGCCTCTAAACATCCATATCATATCCAAAATGTATATTTATAGAATATCCATACCCTGTACATTATGGATTTAAAATGTATATACATAAGATATCGAATGCTATGTGGGGATCTTTGGTTTTGCGCATGCGCAGTGTCAACAATTTGGTTGAACGCATGTGCAATGCTAACTTTGTTATTTATGAAGATCTTTAAACGAAACTTTATATGTAAACACTACGAATATAAGTAAAATTAACGACATTTTCAAAATGTTGTTTTGCGCATGCGCAATGCCAACTTTCTTATTTATGAAAGCAGTTAAATGAAATATCCTNCCGGACCGACGGACGGACATACAAAACGCAAACAATAGCACATTTTTTTAATTCTTAAAAAAATGCGCTGAAACAGTGAAACCCTATGTGAATAAAACAAATAGGTAATACAACATATAGTTAGTAAATAAGTAATACAGATGTTAATGTATAAAATGCGAAGTAAATAATATTTAAGAACTGATACCCCAAAAATTTTACGATAGTTTTAAAAACTCAAAAATATATACGGCGCGGCGGTTCGTATGAATGATGTAGTTTAGGGTCGTATATATAAAACCAAACACCTTGTAACAACTGTGTATCGAGATGGATTCTACAAGCAAAAGTGCTCTAAGCCTCTAAGCAAGATTTTGCCAAAATCAGTTATCTTTAATAATAAGAAAGCTATCGGGGATTAAAGAAATCGACTAAATTCGTGAACGCGGTTAAACGATTAGGGAGACCTGAATTCTGTTTGGGCTTGTGATTTTCTTTATAAAATTGAGCTTCAGACACTTAGCTCCATTGTTTTCTATCTAATAAAATAAAGGGTGTTTCCATAAGAAAGTCGCCAATTTGCACCACCCTGTACATACTTTCTAAGCCATTCTCATTTGAATATTAGTCCTTCGAGCTAGATGGGTCACCGATGTGCAGTATGTAGGTGTAATATTAGCCGTATTTCTACGAAAATTACGAACGCGGAAATCATTTATCATAACTGGTTAAGAGGAGCTTTTTAAAAAGAAGTGAGTTCGGGATCGCGCATGCGTATGAAGTACGAAAAACAAGTGGGGAAAGGGAGTGGACAGACGGTGCAGATAAAATATGTGTGTGTGTGTGTGTGTGGTACCATGAAATTATTATAACATTAGGTTTTTTTTTCTCACGGTTCATTTATATATTTTTTAGCATATTTTCGTCAAAGTGAAAAATCCCGATTGGCTGCACTTTGTCGTCCGTCCGTCCGTCCGTCGCACGCACTCCTTCTACACCACTGAACCGATTTTGGCAATATAGGGCTCATTTGAAAGAGCTTGATCCAAGGATTCCGTGCATACCGATATTTTTTGGTTTTGCACATGCGCAGTGACAACAATTTGGTTTAACGCATGTGCAATGCTAACTTTTTTATTTATGAAGATATGTAAATGAAACTTTATATGTAAACACTACGAATATAAGTAAAATTAACAACGTTTTCAAATTGTTGTTGTGCGCATGCGCAATGCAAACTTTCTTATTTATGAAAGCATTTAAATGAAATATCACATGTAGGCACTTTCAATGAAACTAAAATTAATACCGGTTTCAAAATTACTGTTAACGCATGCTGTATGTTTTATTTATGAAGGTATTCAATAAAATTTCTAATGTAGACAATGCGCAATGCTATATACGAAAGCATTTAAAAAAGTTTCATAATAATGTAGACACTTCGAATTAAAGTAAAACTAATGCCCATTCAAAATTTATTTGTATTTGTATACGCTCCACTATTTTTCATTAAGATTTCGACGATAAGCGGTTCATTAGAAAGTAAATGCGGTAAGGATCTCGTGTCCAGCGGTATTTTTGTCCGGTTTAGGGAAAATACGCTCTCCTCATTTATGTTTGCATAATGACTTTTCAAACTTGTATTATTATAGTATTAGTAGTGATAGCCATCCACATTTGGTGAGTTATCTTGTTACTCAATTACATTTTATTCCGCGTGTCGTTTTCGTTTTTCCGCGCGTTTTTTCAGGAGTCATGCTCAATTTTCGACCCCTGAACTTTTTTTCGGTGCGCCACGGGTAGGTTATGAAACCAAATTTCGTTTCGTATGCTAATAAAGTAAAGGTTTACATTGTAAAGTGTACGATAAAACTGTAACACCCTGTAGATCGGTAACGAAGTGTTTGCGAATGTATGTTTATATGAACATTTAGTAATAAAATAAGCCTAACAATTAGCCCCTTTCGTATTTACATCATATTTAGGAACACGCTGTATATATTTAAATTTGAAGTGGTGCACAAATCTACGGAAAACTAATAAAATAATCCGAAGCAAGGTCTGTAAGTGACGCCACAATCACAACCCCCCACTATATGCGGCGAACATACACGGTGATCTGGTAATCCTATATTATATGGCATTCTTGGTCACAACGGAAGTTCTATATCACTAGAAACAGCGACGTTTTCAAGAAAAGGTAATTTTCAGAAATCGAATTGTTTAGCAACCTTAATATTTCAAGTGTCATATACTGTAAATCGTTAATTTTTTGTTATTTTCAATATTACCTACCCATGCAAATTTGTGAAAATTAGGGGACACCCCAATTTGTGTTCCTTTTAACCCATGAAGTAAACAGTCTGTTTCAAATTAGGTGGCCACTATGGTAAAATGACGGTTAAATTAACAATTGTTTTTTTCTATTGACTCCAAATCTATAAGTAATTAAAAAACCAAACAACATCGCATCTTTCAGATAACAAAAAAGTGACTTTTTATATGGAAAACCCTGTATATATTATTACATCATGACAGCTTATTAAATATTCTACAAAAATTCTTAATGCACCGTAACCAAAATACTTAAAGCGTGATTAACAAAACAAGAATAAGAGGTGCAAAATATGAAGTAATACATATAAAAATAACTGACATGTTAAAGTAGATAATTATACCTACCTATGTTAAAGAAGGTGTTCAAAAAAGTTTCCACTTTCTGCGTAAAAAGCATATTTTCTAAGAGATAAACTTAAACAGCACTATGTAATAAACCCCAAAGTTAGTTGTCAGATACTTTACAACAAACAATACGTCATTTTTACCATTTTTTCATGGATAACTAGATCGACATGAAAATAATTGAAAAATTAGGTACTTGAAGTATTTTGGCTATGGTGCATTAAGAACTTTTGTAGAGAATTTAATAGGCTGTCATATGATGTAATGATATACAGGGTATTACATATATAAAAGTCATATTTTTGATATTATCTGAAAAAAGCGATAGTTTACTTTTATTACAGTAGATCTGGATTCAGTAGACAAAAATACAGTTTTGGTAAGCAATACACCGACTTAATTTAAAACAGACTATTATTTTTTTATTTTTCTTATTTGGAAAGCTGTTTATGTACTTTAATTGAAGCCCAATTAAAGTTATTATTATTATTACTGTATACTCATGGAATTCTTGCCACTTTCGTTGAGTTCCCCGAATTGTAGTTGTTAGTTTTTCAAAATTAGTTTCCGATTCATGTTTTTCTTGTTAAAAACCTGTCAGATACTAAATTTAATCGGACGGTTCAAAGAAGTGCCACTTGTTTTTGTTATTCCTATGGTTGCCGAGAAAAAGATTAAAGGAAAAATGCAAATTTCTACATTTTTTTTTAAGTTATCTTCTAAACGCAAAATTCATTTTATTGGAAACATTTCGAAAAGAAATTTTGTCCTACGTATTATGTCACACCCTGAATATACTATTTCTTTACTCCATAGCTAACGATCGACAGTAGCTTAAATGGTAAAGTGCAAATTAGAAAAAAGTGCTTGGTTATAAGACCAAAACGCCTTACTTAAGTAAACGTCAATTGTGTAAAAAATGAATATTCAAAAACCTCTGAAGAAGCTGTGGCCTAATAATGACCTATACTAATCAGTATGATGAAAGATGCACTTTTGTCTCACACTCGATTGTTCACTGTTACTCCTGCTGTTACTTTTAATCCTATCGACCTTTACTCCCCTAAATCGCAGTTTATTAGTTTGTCAAACCGGAGTAGTATTGACGATATCTTTAAAATATTGTTTCTGAAAATCAGATTTTTTAAGGGTCCAATAAAATAAAGTACGCAAATAGTATAATGTCGTCTATAAGGCAACACGACTATTAGTCTTTACATGATCCGTCCCTCAATATTACTAAAACGTTTTTGAAGAATTTTGTGCAACTATTTAGTAATACCTAGGTACTTTCCTTATAGCATTGTACGTAAACCATCACTTTAAATTTGATTTTAAGATTCCTAATTTACAGCAACCTAAAGGAAACCCTTTACACGCGTTATAGAAAGACCATTCGACGATGTCGTGGGATTAAATTACTTCCCTGCTGAACAAGGTGCATTGAAAATTGCTTTCGTGTACCTACATTAAACAGGGTTGCAATGAAGATTGCAATTAGATCATTTATGTCCAAGTCATTCCATTAGTGGTTAATTATGTTGTCGACATTAACAGTCTTACCGCAATCCTAGTGCAGCTACAAAATGAAAAGGGTAAAAGAAAAAGTCATACCTCTGCCACTTCGGCCGACAAATCTCAAGTCATTAAATTTGGCTACTTGATTTTTCATAACGGCCGTACAGTTTCGAAGTTCGCCACAAAAATTCTCGTCGTTACCGGCTCGAACCGTAACCAAAGTACCATCACCCACTTCGCCGAGTGCGACAACTTTAAAGGCGACCGGAAGCGTCTTATTCGACCTCCAGTGAGGCGGAAGAACGGTGCACACCACGTGCGGACTTCCAGTCCTAACTAGCTCTCCAGGATGCTCGGCCATAAGTCCGTCCAACGTTCTTTCCGCGAGAATTTCCGCCGTTAAATTTTCATAGTTGCGATCAAAGTGGTTGGTCGTCGACGTCACCTCGCTGGCAAGATGCATATTTTTCCTCCCTTCGAAGTTCGTAGTCGTCGTCGTTAACTTCAAATCAAGTGGTCGACTTTATTTCTTCTTCTGTACGGCCGACGCATTTTTGTCACAGTAAATTCGAACGCAACGAACCACAGAACTCTTTGATGTCCCTTATTTTTTCGACGGGTTTCCCTTCCCTTTGTCAAATGCGAAAGGAAGTAGCGCGTCCCGACGACGACTTGACAAATGCGTGTAGTCGCGCGAGATTTCTTCGTCACTTTTTAACATGCGAGTATAATGTCATCCATTCGGCGCGTATATTTATATGAAAAATCGCCACCGCTCTCTGATTTTATCCGGGCAGTGTAGCGGTCGCGAACCACAGCTGGAAAAGTGCGCGTGAGAGTTTTCCACCCCAATTTCCCCCCCGATGCTAATCCGCAACTTCGCGATATGTTTTTCTAATTATGCAATCACAGTCGGAGGTGACAAACGCTATTTGTATTTTCGCTTACACAAAGTTATTGTGTACGAAATTATCAGTCAATTCACGTTTGGTCCAGATAACGCGAAGGGAAGCAACAATCAGCTGTTCCGTGATTCATTCCCGCTCCCCTATTTTACAACTTCGCTAGTTTCGAACTTGGCGCACTTAAATTAATTTCGCTAAAAAGTCCGTCACACGTACGAGGTTGTTTGTAATTAGCGAATTCTGGCCAAGAAAAAAACGTCGAAACTTTTCAAACGTTAACTTCTTTTCGCGTCGCGCGATGATCTGGCATTAAGAAGTGTAAAAGAAGCGTCGCGGGGACGTCGCGGGTCGTCTGTGGACGTCGGGGGCTGTGAGGGGTTTGGGGTATGGGCGGGGCATGTTGAGGTAGACCGCCACCGCCGTCTTGGCCGCCAACCAGGAAAGACGCCCGGATTTTTAGCCCCAAACCGGCGTCGTTTCTTCGAGGTTTACCAGAAGTTCCACGCAAGCGCGTAAAGTCTTCAAGACGTCTTTACCTTTTTTGCCGAACCCGTCTCGCTTACTAACACTGACTTTCGCATGCCGCCGTCCCTTTCTAGTGCCCTGTAAGAAAATGCAAGATTTAATTTTATTTTCTACCTTCACGAAGAGAGCCCTCGTTGTCTCTTTTTAGATTTCATCGAACGCGAATTTTATCTCGTTTGTACTCGCTATGTAATAAATTAGTCCGACTCTTTACACTTTATAGTTTTTAACTTCTTGCAAATGAAACGTACTTCGAAGTTCATGAAAAGTTCGACTTATTTGAAACTATTCATAATTGATAAGATAAATAATCGCGTCCTTTGTGCATCCCTGTCGACTTTTACAGTTTATGTTCGATTGTTTTGTTTTGAACTGCTGGAAAAACTTAAAATTGTTTCCAATTAAAGGAATTAAGTGTATACTTACAGTTGGAAAAAGTATTTCGTATAGATTCATTTTTTACCTCTACAGCAGCAAAGGTTCCATCGACCCAAGTGGGGACGAAATTTTGGGCAAATTATGCTCCGACGGCATGTAACTTTGTACCTCTATCGGTTTACAGGGGAGCCCAACTAGCTCAGCACTTAGGCACACCAAAGGCCCATTGAGCTTACCCTCTTTCCTTTTGCAACTTTTTTCAGAGAGAGCCCGTTGCTTCATCCTACCCGATTCGAGAAAACTGTCGCTAAGGATCTTATATCTTATCTGTCTAGGATCATCCGTCTTTTGGTTGCCTCCTATTCAACACGGTACTATACCTACTGACAAAAGGATAAGCTGATGTCACCTCTAGGTGTCGATTACCATATAGGTACATATACCCATGAGCCCTGCAGGTTTGAGATTCGGGCGATCTGAGGTTAGCCTCTGCTCTTAGTCCGAGAGACTGATTGTATACCTTGTGGTTGTGTGGTTTTCGGGACCTTTTGTCCCTTTTTTTATAAAACTTTTAACACCACAAACATCACCAATCTAGCTAGCTACGCTTGGTTCTGAGATACAGGGTGAAAACGAAAAGTTTGACTTTTTTGGATGTCATCACATCTTTACCCTTGTGAGATAGTAAAAACTGCTTATTTTAGATATTTTTTCGTAGAATCCAGTAGCGTAGTAATAAAAAAATGTTACCACCATCTATGGGATTTTACCCAATGCTGGTATTTTTTAAATACAACACCCCGTATATCTTAACGTCATGCATTCTTTTTCCTGATTACATTAATGTATCACAACCTAGATGTATATTTTTTAGCGCATTTTTTAAGAATTAAAAAAGGGAGGGTTAAGAATTAATTTTATCTCTCATTGTATTCTAATTAAAGGTCTCAACGAAAAAAACCGTTTTCTACCAACTACTACCCTTCTTTCGGTCCTCTTATCAAAGTACGGGTTGGAGATGGGGGGGGGGGGGGGTTGCAACTAGTTTTATCCTTCATGGTACTCTAATGAAAGGTCTCAACGAAAGGAATTAATTTTTACCAACCATAGCCCTCCTCCTTGACCTCTTGTCGTGATCGGGTATTTCCCTTTATACCTCAAGAACGGATTGTCGGAAAAGGGTACTCACAAAGAGCGATTGAGACGTCTGCAAGATCCGTTGGTGATGTCAACACAAAAGCAATTTCGGTTAAAAAAATGCGCTTTATCTGCACAAGAGTTGTGCACAATTTATACTTGTTTAATGTTGACCACTCATTTGGATAAAGACCTTAGGTTTTACTGTTTACAAGTAGTAGGCCATGGACTCATGGAGATTTTCTTTTGTTTATGTACCCATGTTAACTAAGGGACTAAGGCAGCAGATACCAATCGATAAAAATGCCTGACGGTAGAAACATGTCACGTCAAAATTTGGGAAAATATGATATATTTATAATATACAGGGTGTAGAAACGATTTACGCAGGATAGGGATTCCAATATAGTAATTGTTTATATCGAAATATTTTCTCCTCTAATTAATTTAGGACAAAGTTGAAAATAGGTTTACGTCCTCATTTATTATTTTCAATTCCGAAAACCGAATCAAATAAATTAGAATTTAGTTTGGAATTTAGCATTTGCGTAAAAATTTTGGTTTTGAGAGGTTCAATCCTGTATATACCACTTACGACGATGCACACCTTTTGAGAGTTGGCAACCTCGCAATTTTTAAGATTTGCGCCATCTGGAGAGCACGAACGTTGGTTACGTTTGGCATCTTGTCTGAATGGCGGTCGTGAACGCGTCGCTCCATAAATGTTTGTTGTTATTTTGTGTTATTTAATGCAGGTAGTCATTTTTGCATTTCTTTAATCGTATTTGTGTTTTGTATGCCACCTTCTATATTTTTTGTGTTTCAATCTTTGTTTTTGAAATTTACTTGATTTAACCGCAATGCAGAATCACATGTTTGATACTGTTATCCTATTGTTTGTAATCGTTTACGTTTTTGGTGTAATGTTTGCTCAATTTATGTTTATGTGTTGATTACTTGGTCTTGTCCGAGAAGTAATAGTCATATAAGTTTTGATCATGCCTTTAAACATGTGGAAATTATCGAATTGTTTTGATGTGTGTATGCGTACGGACTTGTTTGTAACCTAACATTTTCGCCTTGAAGAGACGATCACAGGGGTGGAAAAAGTGTAACCAAATGTCGTAACACTCTAATCTGGGACTGCTCTCGAGTCTCAACTTTATGCTGGAAAATACCGAACGAGGGCTCATGCTACAAATCGTAGGGGCAAGATTACGCTAATCAAAAGCTCTTCGGTTTATGTCTGATATATGAGTTGCGATTCAATAACTTCCACATATTTTTACTGATAGTTGAATTTTCCTACAAGGCCATGTAATTTTCCATCTTCCTTTTAACCTTGAGTGTAACCAACATTGATTGTGAATAAATGCATTTACTATCTTTGTTAACTACTTACTCCTTAAACTTTTACAAATTTTACAAATTATTTTGTTAACTAATTTTTGGACTGTATTAATCAAACTGCGAGGTTTTTCTACATCGTGCTCTTTTTACCCTTAGCAGTTACTTTTGCAGGAGTACGACACCTTCTGGCTTTGCTTGCATTAATGTACATCAACTAAACAAGTCGGCTAGTAGGGTCGGTTCCCGTCCTCGGCGCAGAGTTTCCTCCTGTCATCTTTCGTTCTGTCTTACCATATTAGAGCTCTGTTTTCAGTGCGCCGTCTGCCGACAGCAGGTTTCCGTAGATAATCGAGTTTTTGAAATGTTGATGAAGCTTTCTTGAGGTCGAATGGTGTTACCTTGAATTGGTCATGGTTGTGAAGGCGGTGAGTGAACGTCATTCCCAAGAAAGGGGTACCTGCCCGTGCCCCAACTTGATATCTACTGTGGAGAACACTAATGACGTGACCATGTCTCTCGGGCAGTGTGACGCTCTGGTCGCATGTGGTTTAACCCGGAGTATCGAACAAGCGTAGCTGAACGTGATAAATTCGATTATTTGGTCAGCAAGCATGGTCTCTACTCCTCGTTTCATGTTGCTATCTAAAGGGGCGTGCGGTCGCTTAGCCAGAATGGTGCATGGTGGATGGAGTGGTGATGGTCCGTTACTCTAGTCGAAGGCGTGTCTGGTGTTCTTTCGGAAAACCGTAATTGACTATTGGGGCTGGTATGTTGTTTGTAGGTGTGCAGTGGTAGTCCCAGTGAGTGGTTCTGCTATGGGCCCGTTGAAGAATTGGAAGTGAGCATACAATTTCCACCACGTAGCTCCTCCTTTTCTCAGCTGTTACCCGGTCGTCTCCTTGTTGTGCAATTCTCCCCCCGCACTTCGATGAGTTGTGCTTTAAACACGTCGATGGATTTTTTTTGGTATTCCTTTAGACACTACTGCTACACTCTCTTGTGTTTCCATCTTATTCCCTTGTTCATTTCGTATTGGCTTCTATTTTCTGTAAAATGTTAGTATCGGTAGCTTTTAATGTATGTGTATTTGCTTCTAATATCTGTATAAATTAAGTGTCCACGATCCTCATCATTTCCATCAATTTCTCATTCAGGTCTTCTGTTCCCTATAATTTTCGTTTAGTGAAAATGTATCTTGTGATTCGGAGTCTACTTTTCCTTTCTGCGTCTTACTACCTGATCGTACTCGTAATTCCATTTACTTTTAAATTCGTTGCAATGCTTCGCAGATGGGTTTCTTTGAGCGCATAGATTCTTACAAGTCGTTATCTGTAGCCCTCACGCAGTGATAATTTAGGAGATGGGGTTTGCTTCTTGTATTTGGTAGTAATATGTCGTCCGTGATACAAAATCTTCGCCTTAGATGTATAGAAGGATGAATCAAACAAGTACAATATTATTTTAATTTCTTAAATATTCCGCTGGAAGAATATACACTTTAGTAAATGGGGAGTGAAGCAACTGAAATAGATAACCGGGAATTCGTTCACACTTAAATAAATTCAATTTAATTGATTTAATATGAACATTTAATGAGTTTCAATTCAACATAAGATTTGTATAAATAAATAAATGAAAGGAAAGCTTTGTACAAATAAAAAACAACTGGCAAGATCGCGCTATTCCTCCGTATCTAAAATGATAGAAGTCGTAGGCCTTTAAAACAAATTAATCTAAATGAAAATAAGTATTATGAAATATTTACAATGCGGCTGACTACATACGTAATTCCTACGACTCTAATTGTAAAGGAAATTATTCTGTTTTCTGTCGAAAATATACGCGGTTATTGTCCATTAAATAAATGCACTCGTAATTAACTACGCTAATCGGACACAAA